TATAACAACCACAACTTTTTTTTTTGAAGTTCTTACAACAAGAAAATGGAGGGGACACACCTGGGTGGGAGGGGGGAGAGGGAGGAGGGAGGGAGGTTTCGGTGATGGGACACAATAAATAACTACATTGTATATTGACAAAATAAAAATAATAAAAAAACAAACAAACAAAAAAAACATATCAAAACATTTGCATTTTTAGAAGTACACAATAAAGATAGAATTTACAAAAGCTCTTTAAATTGGAGAAGTTGGGGCTGCTACAGAGACACTACTGGCAAAAATGTTTGATATGATCACTTTAATTCTTTCTGGGAAAAATATTTTGGAGCCATCTGCCTTCTGCATGGCTGCTGTTACAAGTACGGGCATAAGCCGCTTAAAACATAAATCTGATAGTAGCTCCTGACCCTTCCTGTGCACAGACATAGACAGAGACAAACACGAGATGGGTGTGTATTTTCAGGCGATTCATTATGGGTCCATGAAGTCCATCCATGGTCCTCCAGGGTCCCATAAGCCCCAATTAAGCTCCCTTTCCATACCATAGGCTAGCTCTACAGCAAGATTCCTATGCCGTGGAAAGCAAACTGCACCCTTCTAGGTCACTGATGATGGTGACAAGGGAACATTTAGTGTTTGAAAGGCAGGTCCGTGCATTTGGCCTTCATGGAAAGGCTTCAGACCTGAATATGATTAGAAGATTAAGCCTTCTCCGATTATTTCATGTGTCATGCCTAATCAGTTTGCTTCCAGATATTGCCTCTGTAATTAGCTGCTGGCATGAGTCTATCAATACTGCCCAGACTTGCCTGATACTGGAGCAGGAAGGAGGCTGGGGAGTGGTGGGGGGACGAGAGGAGGGGCCCTTCTTGAGTTGTAGTGTGTTTCTTTTGCAATTGACAAAGACCCGGTGTTCCTTTCCTGACATTTGTTTCCTGCACGGAAAACGTAAACTTCCTGCCCCGACTATTGTGATGATAATGAATTTTAGATGCTCAAATCAAATGAAATAAAAAGACTTGCCCAATGTTCAACATCACCATTTTCTGCTTGGGAAATTGAAGTGGGAGGTGTCTCCCCCACCACATTTTTTGAGGAAAATGGAGCCTACACACAGTGTTTTCATGTTATGTGTTGACTTAAGTGATGCACCATGCTGTGGTATCTATGAAATCCTGAGAATGTTTTGGAAAAAATGTCTGTTTGCATCAAATTCTTTTAGGAATCTGCACAGCCCCCTCTTCTTTACTGCTGTAAAAATAGTTCCTTATCAGCGTAGTTGTATTTCTGATTTTCTTACGGTCATAAAACCTTACATAAAGAGAGCCTTTAGATGACCTAGAAAAGGTTAGATCAAGAAAAAACTTTTATGTGTACTTATGTTAAAGAAGAGTGTCCATAACTTGGAACGGAGAAAAGAATAAAACATGTCATACTCAGCGACACTGAATGCTTTCCATTTGTTTGGTGGCTCTGATTTTTTTTTCAATATTCCATTTAAAATAACTCTTTTAAAAAAATCAACCTGTACTATGGCTCTTTTCCAAGTTCAGTATCACTCTCCAATGTCTACACACTGAGTGCCTGTGTTTTACACTATTTCATGGCAGTGAGCAGTTACTCTGATTCTTTGGTAAACAGGAAAGTTACCAATACACACACACTCATATATAAATTTTTTGGAAGAAATTACTTTTTAGGAAAGCACAAGGTATCTTCCACGGAGCCCATGCTTTACAGAATGCATAAGGTTACTCAAAATCGAAACTGAAATGAAGAAAGAAGTTTAAGAAAGAGTAAGGATGAATTAAGTTGGCGACTTGATTCACATGATTTATTAGTTCACCTAACAGCCCCTATTTCAAGCACTTTCAATCATTCACTGAACGGATTACCGGAAATTGAATTCCCCCCTCCTGCCCAGCCTGTGGTCACTGCTGGTAATAAGCAATTGCTTGTTGAAAACTCTGCACACCAGCTCCGACACCTCTGCTGCTTCTAGCTAACACTTAGATTGGCATTTTCTAGATAATGCTAATGGTTTTACCATGGTCAGGCAGTGTTCTGAGTCTGTGCAGTCCCATATATAGTAGCCACTAACCGTGTGTGGCTATTTACATTTAAATGAATTAAAATGAAATGAAATGAAAAAAAAAATCAGTTCCTTAGTTGCACTAGCCACTGAGTATCAAGAACTCAGCAGCCACATGCGGCTAACGGCTACCACATTGTGCAGCACAGAGATTTAGAACATGCCCCCCATCGTAGAAAGTTCTATCAACTCATTTAATCCTCACAGCCCTGGGAGGTAGATACTGAGAGTCTTCATTTTGTAGACGAGGAAACTGAGGCACAGAGAAGTGAAGTAACTTGCTCAAGCCCATACAGTAAGTCGGGCGGGTGAGACTGGAATGCAGACAGTTCTGGTGCCAGAGTCATTGCTTAACCACTCCTGTTCTGACTCTGATTGGTAATAATAATAATAATAATAATGATAATAATAATAATTAATAATAATGACAGCTTACAATTATTTATGTGTA